TAATTTAAGCTTGAATTAATTTTTCTATAGCATCAAATTTAAATTTTGATTTTTCTTTTTAATTTATTGTAACAATGAATCCAAAGATTAAAACAAATGTTGTTCTTCAAAAAGAAAAGGGTCTTGTGATCCAGTTGATATGAGATTTATACACATTTTATATATATATATAAAAAAAAAAAAAAAAATCATATTTACAGGTTTACACTTTTTTTAATGTTCAATTGAGCTGCAGATGTCAATCTGCAACTTCTTAAACTGGTCAGTTAAGCATGCATAGCAGCCGATTTCCCTGTTGTTGAAAAAAAAAGTGACTTAACTGTGGAGCTGTAATTCTTTTACTTGCAAAAAAAAACTGCATTGATGAAATGTGACTGAATTGCTCAGCTTTTTTTCCTGGTTTTTGTTTTTATCTTCTAATGTTTTTTTTTTTTACTTAGACGATGATCTCACATGCCAAATCAATAAAGAAAAACTGTAGCCTCAGACATATGAAACTTTGGGGGGGATCTTTGGAAATACATAATGAAACTTTAACTGCTTATTAAAGGTGCATCGTCATGTTATGACTTTTTTTAATTTGTACGCCAGTACCTTCTGGTTGCATAAAAAGTGTTTTTTAAAACTTACTCACGCTCTATTAATAAGCTGCATCTTTTCTGGCTTTTTGATAGTTCTGCAGTACTGCCAGCAGTTGGCACACAATGGCAAAAATACACTATTTTTGCCTGCTCATGGTACCCAGGTGCTGGAATTATATTTAGGCTCAAAACAAACAAAACACAACCAGGACAGATCCTTAATCTTTACCATGTTCAAATGTTTTTTGGCCTTTTTGTAGTCATAATGTACCTACGCACCTTTATGTACCTTTATTTACCTATGTACTGCCTACAAAAAAATAATAAAATTGTGTTTTTTTTTTTTTTTTTACTGCTACTTGTTTTCCCTTAACTGTTTTTTTAAACCTTGAACTTCCCTTTAATGACAATCTTTCTCAGTCCGGTTCTAATCTGCAGCCATTGACATATCTGCTGTGAAACAAAGAGCATTGCCAAAGGCTCATGTCTATTCAATTTCCACCATAAATCTTTAAACAGATCGATGACTGTTTGCTGGCCTGGTCCCTTTTTTTCCTGTGGAATAATCCTGAAAATGTATTCATATTTGCAAGCTATTCTTCTGTACTTCTTTCAACAACAAAAGAATAGCTGCTGCTGCACTGACTGCCATTACAGAGAAACAAACACCCATTTTATTGGTGACTCTAGAAATGTTGCTTTTAGCCACTCATCTGTGTGTTATTCATCCTGCACAAAACAGATGTCCTTATCACTCCGTTAGAAGCAGATCTGTGATTCAGCACAGTGTCACTTTCATTTCCTCAAGTGATTGACAGATTCTCGTCTGATAAATTGAACCATATTTACATCTCTTTAGGTATTATTTATAGTTTATGATTGGATAAAATCTGAAAGGAATTTGGAGACCCAGTTAGAGCTAAATTAAATTGGTCTAAACAGCAAAACAGCTGCATTCAAGCCTTTTAATCACCAAGTGCAATGCAAAGTGTTAGATGCAATGGTGGAGAGCACCTCCACAGCAGTGCAGACGTCTCCTCTGGAATAAATGAAGCATTGAGGTGTCTGCTAAAAAAAATAGTTGGGTCAAGTTTAGCAGCTAGCAGGAGAACCATGCTTATCCGATTGCATTGAATCATTATAAAGCTTAATGCAGAGGAAATTATGGTCTGGGAGAAAGGAACTCTTAATATATCTGCACACAAAAACATTTAGGAAAACCCCATGTTCCCCCAACTCAGTAGCAAAAGTTTACAGATGGCTCTTTTAGGTTCTAACATACATCTTTAAATTGGAGCACAAACTCAGGTCAATAAGGACAACGATGAGTAAGTTTGGGTAATCAGACTCAGGCAATAATCAAAAACAGAGAGTGATAGCCAGGTGTTCTTTTTAAACATCAATGTCTGGCCTGAAATATACAAATATAAAGTGCAAATATAAAAATGGTAAAAGAAAAACAGATATAAAAGATTTTCAGAAGAACGCAGGCTGTTATATCTATGAATTAAGAATGAAATGTCTCTGAAGTTCTTCTATGAGTTAGGGCAGACAGCTTCAAGCAGTGAAATACGCACCGCTCTTCCTTCTACGCATGTTCCCATCTCAGAGATTAATCTGTCAATATGCTTTAGCACTAAATTGCAGACATCAGGAAGGTGCACAGGAAGAGGTGTCAAAATATTCAAACTTTTTTCCATGCGTCTTAAAAAACTACAAAAAAAAAAAAAAACAGAAAAAAACATGGACTCATTAGGAGATAAAAAGGCATGACTTGCATTTACACATATCCCTGAATCAGGCTCTAAAAACATAATGTGCAAACTTCAGGGCTAGCCAACCAAAGAATCAGTACAGGCAGCCAGATATCAAAATGTGTACAACGGAAAATAAATAAAATAAAACAATGAAATTCTAAACTACAATAAATCAGGCGTTCTGGAGAACATCAACAACTGCTTTGGAAAAAAAGGCCAAGTATAAGGCAGGGAAATTTAAAGACCAAAAAATTATAGGAATTTTTACATGCTACACTACAAAAAGAAAATGTATAAGGATCAGAATGAATATGCTCAAGTATTTGTATATTTTTAATACAACAAAATCAATGATATGGGTTTCTGTTTTTTGTTTTAAAGCAAGATGCATCCAAGCAGGCGCTTTAATGGCTCAAAGTGACAACAAAGGAGAGGAAGCCTTAGAGCTCCAAGCCTCTCTAAACCCTTCAACATACAATAGTGCAATTGACAAACATTTAACAAATCTAGTAAAGCTTGCTACCTATAGCTTTTAGTAGTGCTCCAAAAAGAGAGAACTGTATTAAAAAAATGAAGTAATGAAAACACAACATTGTATAATGGATGTCAGGATTTTTAAAGCTTTACAAAGCTCTGAATATTGTAAGTGTCTGAGTTTTAGTGAAGCAGCTGTGTGTAGCATCAATCGGCTTGCTGTAGCAGCAAAGCTAGTCCTAAAAACCACTCTTACTTAATACTTAAGCAGCAGATTATAAGTATTTCAAAATTAAAAAAGTCAGAAATGCTTGTCTTTTAAATAACTCATTAGGGAAAATAATTTGCATATTTTCCCTATATCTAGAAAAAAGCATTTTTAATTGTATAAGGTGTTTGCAAATGCATTACAGAGAGAAAGAAGGAGTGAAATTTCCTAGAGCCGTTCAATTCACTATCAGCGCAACACCGCCAACCCAAGAAAGAAACTCTCCACCCCAGGTTTATTAGGCAATTTAAAGATGATGAATATAAATAAAGGTGTGACCAGGGGTGACTGCTGGTTAATGATTACCAAGGCAAAAGGTCAGAATACTAAGTAATAACATTTTTTATTACATTAATATTAAAACCTTATGTGAAAAGCATTATATTGAAAACTCCAGGTCCAAGATATTTAGTTAAATTATCAAATTAAATTATCCTCAGCCTATCCTAACATTTTTGTGTTATTTGCACACAAAAATCATGCTAAAACATTTTTTTTTTTACACCACCAAGCTTAAATGTGACATAAAATTAAAAGCTCAGCATCTTAAAAAGGTTATACTTACAATAACATTAAAATGTTTGATGGTACTGTCTCAGCTGTTAAAGGTTTTGTTTTGTTTTTGTTTTAGATGTGCCATCATTTTATAGACCAAGTGCCAGAATGCCCAGATTTTTCCACCAGCCCCTTCTTTAACCTGTTCCTGTGCACTAATAGTTGTCTCAAAGAAGCAAACAACACTTTTTTCAAATTAGAAAAAGAAAAATGCAGCTGTTAGGAAATAACATCATCACAAAAAGAAAAACAGTCAGTTATCAAGTGCAATAGGAGGAATTCCACCCAACACTCTTACAATCAGAACACTGTTTTGATGCTACAGCTGGCAGACTACAGAATTAAGCTTAAATGTAAAGCGGGTGACTGCAGGCTGGTTATATCAATCCAATGATTTCTATCAGTAAACCACATTTTTTTTGTGAAGCTCGATAAAGGACAGAACATCAAAAATGAATAGTATTCTGCACATTAGGCACATTTATCAACAAGCTACAATTAAATCTAGAGATTGTTTATCCTAGTTTTGCCTTGTTCAAATATTTCTTCAGATAATTTTATCATAGTGGAAAACCAATTAATTTTATTATAATAATATACATTACAATGAGAAGAGACAAAGTATGATCATGGATTGCATGCTGTAGCGGGAAAATCTCACTATAACACATCACCCCCATTTGGCCTCTGAATAATCTAGCCACACTTTACATAAATAAAAAACAGGCCTGAACAGGCCTTTAACTTACTAGTCAGGTTGTTTGGCAGGCAACCCAACCCTAAATGAGAGGAGGAAGGTAGGCTTACCATTCAAAAAGTGGGCCTGATGTGACAGCACACTGGCCTCAATGTCGAGCAAGCTTTTGATTAAGAAGGCTTAATGAGGTTTATCCAGCTGTAAAAAGCCAGTGACAAAACTAAGCAACATGTAAGCCTTGGAGATAAAGTTGATCATTTAACTAAAATCAGCAATTCCAGAAAGACACGCATGCAAAACTGAGCCGATCTGTATGTGATCACATCCTATGACCAATACTGTCTTTTTTCCGGGTTCTTTTCCCAGGAATAGTGTAAGCACGGGTCCAAATCTCGACACCTACTGACCAACAACAATGCACTCACATCACTTTTAAAATCTCCAGGCATTCACAGTGTTAGGCCACCTGCTAATGACTAATACAATGGTTTCCAATTAACCAAACCCTGTAAGAAAAGAACGTAGCGATGTCAATAATAATTGGCCGTACCTGCTCAATAAGGGTTAGATATAGAATTGATAACCACAGATATTAATAAGCAACAGCTGCTCTGGTAACTGACTTTGTGGCTCCTCAAGCAGCCCAACAAAGCTAACGCCCAGCTCACCTGTGACTGCCGTAGAAATGTAGAAACTCGCCGAAGACGGACCTTAAACATAATCTAATCGCATACTACCGACATTGCCTGTGTCCAGCTAACTCCAGCGCAGCGTTGACAGGGCGGATATCTTAAGCCTCTTGTATTAACGCAGTGTTATCTGTGTAATCCGCGGCTGACAGCCACTTATAGCTGACAGCCTCTCTGCGAAGCCAGCGTGCCGTCCTGGTCGTGTCTGTCCGCCGGGTCCTGTGTTTACCTGAGTGGAGGACTGACGCCGAAGCGCTAACGGCACTGAGCTAACCAGCCATACCGTTTAAAAACAAACTGCCGTAAGGACCAAACGGCTTAGTTATACCGGCGCCAACTTACCTCTGCGAACATGTTCTTAAAACGCTTTGCGTGTCGTGGGTCCGTCTAACCCCACCACATCGTAACAGGCAGTGTTGAGGTTATTTTTCTCAGCTAAAAAGCGCTCGTTACTCCAAATCTCCGTACTCTTCTTCTTCTTATGGGGTTTTATGGCGGTTGGCAGACTTGTGAATTGTGCATTACCGCCACCAACTGATATGGAGTAAAGCAAGAAAACAGAAAACGATTCACCCCCCCCCCCCCCCAAAAAAAAAAAAAAAAAAAAAAAAAAAAAAAAAAAAAAAAAAAAAAAAAAAAAAAAAAAAAAAAAAAACCTGTGTAACTTAAACCAACATAATACTAAATCACATTTGCCCATATAATTTTTAATTTACTCTAGGTCATCTTAACTCTGCCAGTTTCTGATGGTCCCATCGGTCCTCCCATCATACTTCCAACCATCTCCCAGTTCAAATCTTTAATGTCCAGATATTTTTCTGCAGCCTTCACTATTATTTTGATTTTTTCCGTTTTTTTTGTTGTCTGTGCAGTACAATTAATTACTTCTACCATGAAAAGAACAAAATTTGTCTTTTTAACAATAAGTGAGTCTTCATCAATTTTTTGATTCTCTAGAGGTTTGGAATTTGCCGTGTGTTGAACTGTAGGTTTGGGTTTTTCTGACTGAGATGGGATCCTTTTTGCAGCTTCAGCGTAGGTTATTCCGAGCTCAAATTTCATTTTTTTAATTTCCTCAGACCTTTTGCTTGCTTCACAGCCGCGATAGGCAGCAGTATGTTCTCCACCACAATTACAGCATTTTATTTTAGCTTCTTTTCCACATTTTCCGTACTCATGTTCTCCTGCACACCTTCCACACCTCTGTTTCCCTTTACAAACTGCTGCAATGTGACCGAATTTTTGGCATTTGAAACATCTCAATGGTGGAGGATTGTAGATTTTGACATTATAGCTTATGTAACCGATGAATACTTTGCTTGGTAATTGCTCTTCCTCAAATTTAATTAGCACTGATAAACTGTCAGATCTTTCTCCGTTTCTTGTTGTTTTTAACCGTTTTACTTCTTTTACTTTTGCACCGCTTATGTTTTCCAGAATCTCTTTTTCAGAAATTTTTAGAGGAACTCCTCCAATGACTCCCCTGCTGATCTTTTTGTTCTCCATTAGGCTGCACTGAACTCTTATCCCGTCAATTTTGTTGATCCGTATTGCTTTGCCTTGCTGGGCGCTGTCTCTGCAGTTAATTAGCAGGTCTCCACTGTACAGAATTCTGGCACCTCTGACTTCTCCGACAAGTTTATTGATGGTTTTTGTTAAGTGAACCGGATTCCAATTTGTAAAAGAGTCTGCCTGATTAACGACTTTGAATATGACTTTGAATTCATTTTGTTGTGCTGTGGAATGTATGGAATGATCATCACTGGATTGTTCTGAACTAGATTCCCCTTGAACTGATCTCTGTTTTTTCCGCTTTTTCTCATTTTTTGATGTTGCTATCTTCCAACCTTCATTGTCACTATTTCCCTCTTCCATCCCACAAGAATCGCTTCCTGTTTCCTCACTACTCACGGCCCAAGACATTTCTCCATAAGCAGCTTCAAAACACGCGCCATGCACCAAACGACCATCCACATGCCAAAGGGCAGCCCTCATCTCCGTACTCTTTACGGAGCGTCGCCATGTTGGCAAGGTTTACGTAATCGGAGCGTAGGCTCTGAACGTCACTACGCCATTGGCTGGAGGATGATGACGCAGGATGCAGCGATAGTCACAATGCCGGACCTAAAAACAAAAAAATTCTATAACTATAACTTTTATCTGTATCTGTATCTCTTTTGGACTGCTTTGTAGCAAATAAAGCATAAAATTCACCAATATGCTCTAAAAAAAAAAACATAATGTTATACATACATTTGTATACTCCAGAAGTGTTTTATAAGATATATATATATATATATATATATATATATATATATATATATATATATATATATATATATATACACTATATTGCCAAAAGTATTTGCTCACCTGCCTTGACTCACATATGAGCTTAAGTGACATCCCGTTCCTAATCCATAGGGTTCAATATGACGTCGGTCCACCCTTTGCAGCTAGAACAGCTTCAACTCTTCTGGGAAGGCTGTCCACAAGGTTTAGGAGTGTGTTTATGGGAATTTTTGACCATTCTTCCAGAAGCGCATTTGTGAGGTCGCACACTGATGTTGGACGAGAAGGCCTGGCTCTCAGTCTCCGCTCTAATTCATCCCAAAGGTGTTCTATCGGGTTGAGGTCAGGACTCTGTGCAGGCCAGTCAAGTTCATCCACACCAGACTCTGTCATCCATGTCTTTATGGACCTTGCTTTGTGCACTGGTGCACAGTCATGTTGGAAGAGGAAGGGGCCAGCTCCAAACTGTTCCCACAAAGTTGGGAGCATGGAATTGTCCAAAATGTCTTGGTATGCTGAAGCATTCAGAGTTCCTTTCACTGGAACTAAGGGGCCAAGCCCAGCTCCTGAAAAACAACCTCACACCATAATCCCCCCTCCACCAAACTTTACACTTGGCACAATGCAGTCAGACAAGTACCGTTCTCCTGGCAACCGCCAAACCCAGACCCGTCCATCAGATTGCCAGATGGAGAAGCGCGATTCGTCACTCCAGAGAACGCGTCTCCACTGCTCTAGAGTCCAGTGGCGGCGTGCTTTACACCACCGCATCCGACGCTTTGCATTGCACTTGGTGATGTATGGCTTGGATGCAGCTGCTCGACCATGGAAACCCATTCCATGAAGCTCTCTGCGCACTGTTCTTGAGCTAATCTGAAGGCCACATGAAGTTTGGAGGTCTGTAGTGATTGACTCTGCAGAAAGTTGGCGACCTCTTCGCACTATGCGCGTCAGCATCCGCTGACCCTGCTCCGTCAGTTTACGTGGCCTACCACTTCGTGGCTGAGTTGCTGTCGTTCCCAAACACTTCCATTTTCTTATAATACAGCTGACAGTTGACTGTGGAATATTTAGGAGCGAGGAAATTTCACGACTGGATTTGTTGCACAGGTGGCATCCTATCACAGTTCCACGCTGGAATTCACTGAGCTCCTGAGAGCGACCCATTCTTTCACAAATGTTTGTAAAAACAGTCTGCATGCCTAGGTGCTTGAATTTATACACCTGTGGCCATGGAAGTGATTGGAACACCTGATTCCAATAATTTGGATGGGTGAGCAAATACTTTTGGCAATATAGTGTATATATATATATATATACATATATGTATCACTCCTATTTAAGATTCTGGACGGTATTTTTAAGTATTTTCACATGCGGTATTTTGTTTCTTTATGCATATTTTATATTGTTTTTATATCATGTAAAGGATTTTTTTTTTTTTTAGTTTTAATTTGTATCTGCGCTGTACCTTTTGATCCCTTGCTTTTGTATTTACACCCACATATACTGGGTTAGGTATTGGATCAATAACTGCTAAATATTGAAATCTAACATAACAACAGTCACTTTAAACAAAATACGGATGAACACATTGCAATATGGAGGTGTAAGAATGATGATTTGTGCTGCATCAACTTGACCTGATCAGGTCAGTCCCATTAAAATGATTGTGACTCCACTAAAGTGTTTTAGATTAAAGTTTGAGTTCAGAATATAAAGTCAATTTTCCCTTTATGTGTAACTTACTTTATCCTCTGGTTTTAATAAAGATCTAATATGTTATGGCTATGCAAAAAATGCATTTTATTTCAAAACTGGCAGATCACTTTCATTCTAGCAATCTCTTCTGACAAAGCAAACAAACTGCTGTCTGATCAATTCCTTCACCGGTAAAATACTAGCAAACTTTATGTTAATGCTTAACCTATTGACCTGTAAGGCCTTCATTAACCTGAGTCACACTTTAAACTGCTTATAAAACAAAAAGCAATTGAAACTTCAGGAAAAGAGGTAGAGAAAATGGCCCCTGAAAAGCATTGACAGAGATCTGTATGTTGTCATTGGCATTCCTACCTGTTTCAAAGCAGACAGAGCATGAGCTAAGTCACACTGCAGCAACGACTGAAGCAAAATAAGCCCCCTGGCTCCTGCATGGACAATGGAACGGAAAACCCAAACCAAGCTGTCCATTCGTTTAATGTCCAGATTCATGCAAAAGAAAGGGGCCCTCTTCTCTCGTGTTCGATGGATCCTGCATTTTCTTGTCAACTTCTCCCAACATAGCAAAGCTCTCATAGACATAAACTAAAACACACATACAGTAGCCTTTATAACCATGTTTTATGATGTACAAGCGCAAAGTCATGTGACAGGCTAGTTATGGTTTCTGTTTCTTTAAAATTAGATTAAGTAGCCTACTTTCTATTTTTAGTATGCTGGAACAAAAAAATTAAATGATAATGCTTTTTTTTTTTTTTAATATGCCTAACCTGTTTTGGGATGAAAACATAAACCTGTTGATACAGCCAACTTTAATCTTAAAAATTTTTAGGATTAAGCTTTTCTGTTTTGTGTTTCAGGAAATTGCTAAAAAATCAATTACTTTACACATGCAGTGCTGTATCTTGACCACTAGGGGTCAGTGTGGGTCCACCCTGCAAAGTCTGCAAAGAAATACCACAAGATGCCTTCATAGACAGCAGCAGCATTCTAGAAAAACTTTTCTATTTCACTAAGTTTTTTTTTTTTTTTTTTTTTTTTTAAGGCTCCCACTTAGCATGCAATTCAACCCCATCACTCTGTCTTAGCAGTCCTCTATTCTCACAAAATCTTTAAAATTCACTTAGGTTAATATGTTTGCAACTGATCAATGTTGTTTAGTATCATGGATGATT